TACAAAGATAATCAATATTCACATCATGACACGGGAAATTTATAAGGAAACAACAATATTTTAATATAAAATCAAAGATTTTACACAAAAATCAACGGGAAATTGAGCAAAAAGGTGCTACAAAAATTAAACACAATAACATTTTAATATATTGTGAATATATATTTGCTAATTGATGGTAGCATCAACTGCATAAGATAACCGACAGGTGAAGTATCATCATAAATTAATAGAATATTCGGTGGAACACATCTAAATCAACAGACGGCAAGCGACGGCGCGTAGCAATACAGTCGGTAAATAGGACAAAAATAACTATTTCTTTGTACATATTAAGATATACACAAACTACAAAAACGAAAAACTACTCATCATACAAGATTTTATTAGGTCAACAAGAAATTTCTTAATTTAATGATGTTATCGAGTGCAATTCGATTAAAAACGTTCACGTGTTCAGCGAAAAGATGACCGAGCCGACGGCCGACGGCATAGTGAGCGCGGTCGACCACATGAATATTGTCATTTTAATATTCCGCAGATAATTTTTATAACTGTAATAATTAAATCATGCACATTATTTTCCGAAACGCGATTAAGAATTTTGATAAAACTGCTACCACGTGTTTGTAATTTGCAAGATGTTACATGCAAAAATAGTATCCCTCAAATGGAATAATCAATTTAAGTTACACCGCCTTAAGTTTCCATGAAAAAAATTTATTACACACATACCTTTGCATTAATGAGGAGATTTTATATCCTGTAATATATTCTACCAACTGAAAACTCGCGCAGAGATTATTTCTTAGTTAAGAACACTCCAACCGCGACAAATCATTAAACAAAACCGCCACACATGCCCGTCCCGAATATTTTGCTGATGGCCGAAAAAGTACACGATGATTAATCTAATTAAAACCTCAAAACGCGTGGCGATTAGAAAGACACGCTTGCGGACCACGCGGTGTAACGACTGCCGTGTGCGCTGCGCGTTGCCAGGTACAAGGCAGGTACGTTGCGTTTACGCGTCAGTCGAACAAAAAAGTTTATACACAAACGTAGTAGTAGAGAATTTAATTCTACATTTCTAAACACCCCGCTCAAGTTTGTATGCAATGACTAAAATGATCTACATATTACGAGCACGCATGAATCTGTTGTATAAAACAAACACTTAATTACACATACCACATACCAGTATTTCACGCGGTGCAACACGCAGGCTAATGTATTTTATTTTAAATCCGAATCGACCGACGAAACGAATCAAATTCGCATTCTAATTTAGCTCGTGAGTCGGCTATCGGAAATCAAAGGGCGATTGCTAAAACAGAGAAGAGAACGTTAGTTAGTTTATCGTAGTATTATTTATGAATAACTTCTGTGGCTCACTTAACACACACATTTCTGTAAAGGTTACTTCACACTTTATATGTGTGTAGAACAATAAAATATTGCTTATTTCTATTTCAGTGCAACGGTGATACATTAATAACACTGCACTCATGAAAATTGAAATAAATATTTATCTAAGTTATTACATTAATTTAATATAAATAAAAGTAAAATTTTATATACCTATGTTTTATTTACTATACTTCGTGTACTATATGTTAGGTTTAATTGTGTCAACCTGCCAAGGCTTAGTTAACGCATTCGTAGTGTGTAAAGCGCACTTTACACTTTATAAAACATGTTTAAATGTCTGTAATGTTATATTTATTCGTATTTTAGTGTTACAGGGTTATAATTGTAACCCTACACCTTTTAAAATAGAAATAAATAATTTTATAAATGATTTCGTTAACTTAATAACAACAAAAATGTAATTTGTTTTATTATACTTTTTATCTTATACTTTTTAACTTCCAAGGCGTAGTTAACACGAACGTAGTTTGTAAAGGTTACTGTACACTTTATATTGAGACGATTTTTGAAAATTCATATCTCTTAAACTAAAAGCCACAGCAACCAACAAATTACTGATTATGATAGATTGGAAAATTCTGTATCAGATAAAAATATAAAATAAAAATATTTCCTTCAGTAAAAGGTCGAAAAACGCGAGTAAAAGTGCTAAAAAGTGACATTTTTCAATTTTTGCCCATTTTATTCAAACGCGAATATCTCGTAAACTAAAAGAGATAATTAAGATCTGATCGCAGCGTCTTAATGTACCGACAAATCTCTATCGATACTCTCTAGCAGATTATGAAAGATTGGAAATATTTTCCATTTCTGGCCTACGATGCTTCTTCGTAGTCTGCAAGTACATTAAACACCACTTTCCTTCCTTACTGCCAATCTCACCAACTACAATAGAAATATACATCTTCATATTCAGTTAAAGCTCATCATGTCCATGCTCTTCACCATCTATACCAAAGCCTGTCCAGTCCCTCATCCTCTGTTCCGATTCGCTTTGTGTCTTGCTTCTTAGCCGGCTTGCAGACTACCCCATGTGCCATTGTCTCCCAAACGCAGACGATTCGCGTTTCGTCTTGTTGATGCAGTTGGAGGTTTATTGCTTGGCTAGTGTGGTGTGGTCGGCGGCAATCGTGATATCAGAATATCGCCAGAGCCAAACCATGCAGAAACGGAAGGGTTCCGTCAGAGGACGGCCATGAATTTAGTGGCCATTCGTCTTGGTGATATACGGCTGGAGGGAGCCAACCAAAGCAAGACGACTTTATCGTTCTTCCTTTTGTGCCAACATCAGAGTAAAAATCATTAAGATGTTACACATTATTAAAATAAGTTAAAGACGAATTACTTACCATTAATCAATCCCTTACCCAAAACACAATACTTTAGAGACAAATCAACATTAAATTAACTAATTTCTGTTTGTTTTGCTTGGTTTGGGTATCCGGAATAATATGTTTTTATGTCTCTAGAAATTGCTTTTTACATGGATGTAAAACGTTGGAGTTTGGATGCAAGCAAAACGAAACACGAGCACCTCTTACACATTTGCATTTTTCCGACAAACGAACCCCGTCTCGTTGAAGCTGGGCTCAAAATTTGCACCGAACTGCATGAATAGTCACTATGCACATACTCTTCTTCCATGTACATATATACATACATATCACTGCTCCTTTATGCACCAGCAAGCAGCGCATATTTGTGTTTGCTTCGCGACGCGGACACAAGTGCTGTACATGTCGGCGACAGCCGAAAAATTTTAGTCAGAAAATATTCAGCAGTTGTAAAGCTCTCGACGACGTTTTTCAACATTAACTAATCCACTCTACAAACTGAACTATACTAAAACTCTTTTTGACTGTTTCTAAATTAGAATACATATTTTTTCTCATCAAATTTCAACAATAATATAAGTGAAATTCAAAATAAAATTAATATTAACTGATAGTTCAGAAAAATTAATTTTTTTTACAATTCAGAATTCTAGACAGTGACAACTCATTTGGAGTCAGTTGTGGGTGGTAAGTTTGTAGTCTTGCATTACTTATCACCACGCAATCACCCCTATACATTAATGTTAACGCATAAGTTTCATTATGCGTTCCGTTGAGAGATAATGCATTATCCTCCACAGCAGTTTGGAGAATTTACAATATACAAGTATGTCGAGCACATTCGTACCACTCGGCAAAACAAGAATAGTTATAGAAGAGGATCTATATCTAAATCGTCCTCTGGAATATGTAAACTGGTGGTTTCCAAAAACTTCGTCATAATTTATGTACGAAATAATTCACTTCAATGTGCATGAAACAATTTTCATCACAAATATTTGTTTTTGTTTATTTTGTAGTTTAATTTATTAAATTAATGAAACAATTGAACAAGTCGTTTAAATTCGCGCGATTTTATCAGTGTTGCGGTTCAGTAATAGCCGTACAAAGTGTTCTTCGGCTTTAATAAATAAAAAAAACATCGCAGACGAACAGAATAAACATTAAAATGCCATTTTTAAACCGTATTTTCATTCGGCGTGTTCATCCAACGAAATATTTCTCGATTTCATCAACTTAACTCGTCTGTACTGCGAAATTTTCATTTAATAAACTGTGTTTGGTCAAACTTTTATTTTATTTTATACTTTTACGTGCTTGCTCGGTGGGAACACCCCATGCACCCTTGGAAAGGAAAAAACATGGAAATTTCAATTGCTAATATGTTTTTAGTTAAGTGCAGATTTTGCACATGGCAAAATGAGAGACAATGATGACTTCCAACATTACAGAAAATGTAAAAAATGAGGTGAAATAGAGTAATGCTAATGAGTGGTTCTGCACGTCGGCTTGTAGAATTTTTAATTCTTTCATTTCATCGCGTTTCCGTTCTGGTTCAGGAAAATGGGGAAGAACGAGTAAATAAAACAAGACTTTATTGCTGTTTCTCTAATCATTTTATGCTACACGTGCTTGTACTTCTGTGCACTTGGAGCTAATTTATTCCAGAACGATTACAAGATTTTAATTACGTTTGATGTCTATTGGTTGAATGTTCAGGTGAAAAAATATTAAAATTTTCTTTCGTTTGATGTTATACAACGCAATAATTGAGATTTGTTTCGGAAATCTATATGAGCAGACGAATAAGCTTCATTTAATTAACGTTATAATACAAATGAAGTCTATCTGTATAATCTTGATAAGTTAATAATTTAAAACAATGATAAAAATCATTCAACAATGTTGAAATGCGTTTGACATAACCTCACTAAACATGGCGTAGTTGTATGCTTCAATTTGATACATTTTGATGCATTTTATGACTATAAATTTGTGTTTTTGGCAACAATAAACACTTACCTCTTGTAGGTATGCGACAAGCCGATTTTTCTTGAAGGTGAGTAAAAGGTTGATTGGAAAGCGTAAGACGCGGAGAAGCTATCATGTGGCAGTGCACTTGGTGTAGGTAGTTCGTGTGCGCTCGGCGCTAGTCGTTCCGGTGCGCAGACCGGCGACCGGCAACACGACTCTTCCCCGCGACTCTTCGGTTCCCCTTTCAGTTGTGCGCGTTGTGGTTCTAGGCGTGCGTGCGACTCTCGCTCGCGTCCGCGCCTCAAACGGCATTGAGCTCGCGTTGCGTTCGCGCGTTCCGCACCGGCGTCTCGCAGCGCGGTTCTCCCGAGTGCTTGGTGTGAGAGTGGCCGGCGGATACCGCCTGCAGGACTTCAGGAAGGCGATGGCCGGCAACAATGGTGGCAATATCGTCGCCGAGTGGCTGCGCTCGTTGCACCTCGGCCAGTACGCTGAATCCTTCATCGACAACGGCTACGACGACCTGGAGATCTGCAAGCAGGTGGGCGACCCAGACCTAGACGCTATCGGTGTCTTCAATCCGACACACCGCGCCCGCCTACTGCAGTCGGTACGCACGCTGCGCGAAGAAGGCGCCGCGAGCGTCTATTTTTCGCTGGAGGAGAGTGTCGCGGTACACGAGGAGTGTTTGTGCGATAATGTGAGTGCGCGGTCGTCGCGGACCTCGTCAGGCCGGTGCTCCGAGAAGGAACAGTGCGGTGGCATTGGAGCACCCGCTGCGTCGCCGGCTGCCTCCTCGTCAGCGGACAGTGGGCCCGAGTTGGCCAAGTACGTCGATGAGTACGAAGAGGGTAAAGCCGAACTGGTCAAGATACCACGCATGCAGTTGAAGATACTTCTTCGGGACAAACTCGCTCACGATGGCATCAAGTTGACCTGTCAGCCCTACACTACTCCGGTAAGTCTTTTTTATCATCATAGACCTTCCCCTTCGGTTGTTAGCACTGTCAGCGGTGCTTAACACGTCTTTGCACGTTCGCAGACAGTCGTTAACCCTAATCAGAGTGCAGTTAATATTATTGCCGAGCGCTGTGGATGCTTACAACAAAATGTAAAAACTTGTCCAACGGACGCGCTGCGCGTGCAATGAGTTAGCTTATGTTTGCTCGATGGCCTCGCGAGTGAGAGCAAACGCCGCGGTTAAGACGATGGACATCGACGGCAGCCAAGATCTGAGACCACATGGGTTCACGTACTCTGTGATAGGTCAAAATTGTGCTTATAATTATTGCTCATTATTAAAACAACAGAATTTATGCATAAATCATCAGTTTTTTATGCTTTTGTATTGAATCAGGTGAAGAATGCGTACTGAAAGGTACCACATCCGGTTTTTACTAGGTCACGAGAAATACCAAAGACTTTGGGACCATCTATAATTGTTTATCAATATTTTCTAGTTAAGTAATCTTAATTAAGACGAAGACCCTGTTGGAATCCATAAAATCGATAATTCCGACAGAAGATTGTGGTGGTTCAGTCTGAAGTTTGGCGTCTTTAGATTGAGGTCGAGATGAAGTATGTGTTGATATTTAATTCGAGCAGCAAAGCCTAAGGAGTGCGTGTAATAGGCATCGCTTAACATGCCACGACTTAACTCTGCCTCGCTGCCACAGCAGAGGATAATCTTTGATGTGTATAATCGTTGATTTTCTATCACAGGGAACACGCGCACCAGAAGCACAAAGCCAGCGCTTGCGACTACGTTCAAAGATGCAAATTTCTCAACGTAAAGAGTTTTTGATTCGTGTGCGCTCAAGTGGAGCAATCAAAATTGGAAATTCCACCCTCAATATTCAATACGATATTCTATTAAACTTGGTTTATGTATAATTTTCAGGTGGTTCAATTGTTTAGGTGATTTTGCCATGTTAGTGGTTTTTTTTCGGCTTCATTGTCTTCGTGTGGGCCAAATAATCAGCGTTGCATAAGTTAATTTACGTATGCGCATAACTATGGCGCACCAGTTGGTGCAACGGGCCCCATACGCGTGTTTGGTGCTTCATTGTGCACCGGGCACGATGTAGACACAAGACGCTAATTTACATTTACAGCACGCTTAATCAGCGAAATGTTGGAAATTAATTAAATCTACACGGCGCGGAGCTATTTGGCGGGCGCCTCTGCGATACTCAATTATCAAATTGACAAGTTATCAAGATATTGTCAATAAAAACAAGAATACATGTTTTAGTTTATTTTTAACTTGTATATCTTTTATTTCTACTGTTTTGGAGCACAAAAAGTGGTATTTTAATCACGGGGGGTCACTAAAGTACTTTAGTCACGGGTTTTAGTCACGAGGACAAAAAAACTCTCATTTATCCACTTGAGACTTAATGTATTATTAAAATACAGTTATTAATAGTTAAATTTTAAACACATGCTTACTGAAGGCCATGAAACAATCAGAAAACTACTGCTCACAGAAAATTATATCGCAAATTGATTTATGCGCATGCTCGTGTTAGGCGAAATTGTAATTTATCGCGAAACATTTACGAGCCCGACTTGAATACACCGTGCGCGCCGCGAGAAGTAAAACTAAACAATGAATGCGCAAGAAAACCATGCACACGCTACAGCACCACCACCACCCGGTCCGGTAATAAGCCGTGTCGTGTATCCTCCGTCGTCGTGCGGCGGCAGGGTCTCGAATCGTAAATTAATATTTCGCGTGCGATCGTAATTAATATTTGCGTTCGGTCGGCGCGGCGTGGAATTACGACTCGTGTGTGTGCTGGCAAATATTTGCAGTCGGGTCGTGGTCGCAAACGAAACCAAAGAAATTGCTAGAGAAATAAATATGGCTATGTCTGGCTGGAGAGATTCATGAGTAATAACAATCAATTTGAATGCTGAATATAGCACACATGGTAAAAACTACGATTTGTCAATTGAGACATGTTTAACTGGGGCGTTTGGAGTGTTTAATAATAGTGTTTCACTCGACGATAAAGGAAACAAATATACAGGGCGTTTCAAAAGAAAATTCAAAGTGCAAAGAGGAAAATGCTAAAAACAACAGTTGAAGCAAAATATTCACGGACACGAAGGAAAATGAATATACTGGGCGTACCAGAAAGAAAATCCCAAGTTCGAAACAAAGAACATCCAAAACTCACAAATAAAAACAATCTTCTACGTGGTGCTAGTAAAACTAATATACAGGGTGTTACAAACAAATACCTTTTGCAACTACAAAGATAATCAATATTCACATCATGACACGGGAAATTTATAAGGAAACAACAATATTTTAATATAAAATAAAAGATTTTACACAAAAATCAACGGGAAATTGAGCAAAAAGGTGCTACAAAAATTAAACACTAACATTTTAATATATTGTGAATATATATTTGCTAATTGATGGTAGCATCAACTGTATAAGATAACCGACAGGTGAAGCATCATCATAAATTAATAGAATATTCTGTGGAAAACATCTAAATCAACAGACGGCAAGCGACGGCGCGTAGCAATACAGTCGGTAAATAGGACAAAAATAACTATTTCTTTGTACATATTAAGATATACACAAACTACAAAAACGAAAAACTACTCATCATACAAGATTTTAATTAGGTCAACAAGAAATTTCTTAATTTAATGATGTTATCGAGTGCAAATCGATTAAAAACGTTCACGTGTTCAGCGAAAAGATGACCGAGCCGACGGCCGACGGCATAGTGAGCGCGGTCGACCACATGAATATTGTCATTTTAATATTCCGCAGATAATTTTATAACTGTAATAATTAAATCATGCACATTATTTTCCGAAACGCGATTAAGAATTTTGATAAAACTGCTACCACGTGTTTGTAATTTGCAAGATCTTACATGCAAAAATAGTATCCCTCAAATGGAATAATCAATTTAAGTTACACCGCCTTAAGTTTCCATGAAAAAATTTATTACACACATACATTTGCTTTAATGAGGAGATTTTATATCCTGTAATATATTCTACCAACTGAAAACTCGCGCAGAGATTAGTTAAGAACACTCTAACCGCAACAAATCATTAAACAAAACTGCCGCACATGCCCATTCCGAATATTTTGCTGATGGCCGAAAGAATACAGTCGATTAATTTAATTAAAACCTCAAAACGCGTGGCGATTAGAAAGACACGCTTGCGGACCACGCGGTGTAACGACTGCCGTGTGCGCTGCGCGTTGCCAGGTACAAGGCAGGTACGTCGCGTTTACGCGTCAGTCGAACAAAAAGTTGTTTATACACAAACGTAGTAGTAGAGAATTTAATTCTACATTTTAAACACCCCGCTCAAGTTTGTATGCAATGACTAAAATGATCTACATATTACGAGCACGCATGAATCTGTTGTATAAAACAAACACTTAATTACACATACCACATACCAGTATTTCACGCGGTGCAACACGCAGGCTAATGTATTTTATTTTAAATCCGAATCGACCGACGAAACGAATCAAATTCGCATTCTAATTTAGCTCGTGAGTCGGCTATCGGAAATCAAAGGGCGATTGCTAAAACAGAGAAGAGAACGTTAGTTAGTTTATCGTAGTATTTTTATGAATAACTTCTGTGGCTCACTTAACACACACATTTCTGTAAAGGTTACTTCACACTTTATATGTGTGTAGAACAATAAAATATTGCTTATTTCTATTTCAGTGCAACGGTGATACATTAATAACACTGCACTCATGAAAATTGAAATAAATATTTATCTAAGTTATTACATTAATTTAATAAAAATAAAAGTAAAATTTTATATACCTATGTTTTATTTACTATAGTTCGTGTACTATATGTTAGGTTTAATTGTGTCAACCTGCCAAGGCTTAGTTAACGCATTCGTAGTGTGTAAAGCGCACTTTACACTTTATAAAACATGTTTAAATGTCTGTAATGTTATATTTATTCGTATTTTAGTGTTACAGGGTTATAATTGTAACCCTACACCTTTTAAAATAGAAATAAATAATTTTATAAATGATTTCGTTAACTTAATAACAACAAAAAATGGTTTTATTATACTTTTTATCTTATACTTTTTAACTTCCAAGGCGTAGTTAACACGAACGTAGTTTGTAAAGGTTACTGTACACTTTATATTGATGTAGGATAGTAAAATATTATTTATTTTCATTTCTTTCAATATAACTTTCAATATGACTCGCGTTACGGAATTTTCTTGCAATAAATTTTAATTCAGGTAGATACATAATTAAATTATGCATCTGGGAAAATTATTCCTAACTTATTGTGACACCGCATTCGCGTGTTATATCAAAAAATTATAATTCCTAGCGTAACGAGTACTAGTGCGTATACACATAATTTTCAATATAACTCGCGTTACGGAATTTTCTTGTAATAAATTTCAATACAGAGATATACAGAATTAAATTCCGCATCTGGAAAAATTATTCCTAACTTATTGTGACACCACGTTCGCGTGTTATATCAAAAAATTATAATTCCTAGCGTAACGAGTACTAGTGCGTATACACATAATTTTCAATATAACTCGCGTTACGGAATTTTCTTGTAATAAATTTCAATACAGAGATATACAGAATTAAATTCCGCATCTGGAAAAATTATTCCTAACTTATTGTGACACCACGTTCGCGTGTTATATCAAAAAATTATAATTCCTAGCGTAACGAGAACTAGTGCGTATACACACAACATTCAATATAACTCGCGTTACGGAATTTTCTTGCATTAAATTTCAATACAGAGATATACAGAATTAAATTCTGCATCTGGGAAAATTATTCCGAACTTGCTAGCGCAACGAGTGCACACACACAACTTTCAATATAAATAGCGTTACGGAATTTTCTCGCTATAAATTTTATACTGAGAGATACAGAATTTAATTCTATATGTGGGAAAATTCTTCCGAACTTACTGTGACACTGCGTTCGCATGTTATACTAAAAAAAAAATACAATTCCTAGCGCAACGGATGCTACGGAGCACACATACAACTTTCAATATAATTCGCGTTACGGAATTTTCTCGCTATACATTTCTATACTGTAAGATACAGAATAAAATTCTACATCTGGGAAAATTCTTCCGAACTTACTGTAACACTGCGTTCGCGTGTTATACTAAAAAAACTACAATTCCTAGCGCAACGAGTGCCACGGTGCACACACACAACTTTCAATATAACTCGCGTTACGGAATTTTCTCGCTATACATTTCTATACTGAGAGATAAGAATAAAATTCTACATCTGGGAAGATTCTTCCGAACATGCTGTGACTCCGCGTTCTCGTGTTATACTAAGAAAACTACAATTCCTAGCGCAACGAGTGCTACAGCGCACACACACAATAAATTTCAATACAGGGAGATACAGACAGGGTCGTCGAGAGCCAGGGCGGGCCCCGCGGGCCACGGTAATCATTAATTTTTCGCTAATTTTTTTTTTGTTAGCGATTTAAGAGCGATCAACCGAACACCGAGGAATTTATCCCAGTTGACCCCCCTCTCATCATCCCTGCAGGTAGGTACGTGATTAATAAAAAAACTTGTTTATAAACAGCAAATGCAAATTTGACCGAATAATATGATTGAATTATAAACTTACCAGTGTACACCTTATCGGACTGCTAGGTACGAGTGCTATAACTAAACGAAAACATAAATTAAAAATATATTTCATATAATTGAATTATGTTATAACATAACAATCAACACAAAAGAAACAATCTGTGCTGTTTAGTTAAAAAATGCTTACACGAGCCTGATGGATCTTTCTTATTGATGAGAATCAACATGGGGGCGACTATATCCGATTAATTTAGTAGCCGACACCAAACACAACGCCGAGTGAAGAATGTTATCAAATCCATTATCACGTGACTTGTAATATACATAACAAACGCGATCAAAAACCGGCATTTCCGAACATTAAACAAATTACTATAGTCGCAAAGTACAAATAAATAGTCGATTGATCTTCTAGTATTACACAAATTTAGAATATTGAACGCCGAATAAACGATATACCTAAGTCTCTCAAAACACGACTGGATTAACCAGCGACCGACACGAAACTGACTGCAATCCACCGATAGTGCATGCCGAAACTGTGTAAACAACGACGGACAGTATATGATATGAAAGTAAGAGGTGCGCAAAGGCGCGTCGAAGGCAAGCGATCTTGTGTGCGAATTTACAATAGGCACATTACCTGTGATCTAAACTAAACTAAACTTCGCTGCATGCAGCAAGTTGATGCGGCGCTGGGAGACGCGCGCGAGACATATGCGTTGAAAACATTGTTTACACCGAATCGCTGATAACAGCATTGTATACAAAACTATTCTCGTGCCCACGCTTGTCGATAAATATAAAAATAAGCCGTGGATTTTATGATTTTTAGTGCATCCTAGTGATGAGATTTAGATGATTATAATCAATAAATAATTAATGTTTAATATGAGCACCAGATGTAATTTTAAGAAAAAAAATTGCTCTTATCAACGATTTTCAAAAATTAATATCTCTTAAACTAAAAGAGATAGCTTTTTCGACGATTTTTCAAAATTCATATCTCTTAAGCTAAAGAGATAGATACCAACGAATTGTTGATTATGAAGGTGTAAAATTCTTTTATCAGATAAAAATATAAAATAATAATTATATATTTTCCTACGATGAGGGTCAGCAAATTAAAAGTGCTAAAAGAAATTGACATTTATCAATTTTTGCCCATTTTATTCAATCGCGAATATCTCGTAAACTAAAGATAAATAGGATCTGATCACCCAGGGTCTTGTCTACGCGGTACCTCTATCAGCTATCTGATGAAGGTATAGATACGATCGAATATTTTAGTTACAGACAATCGCGATTAATCGCACAACAGCCATTCCCGCAATGAAATATTATTATATTACACCTCTGATGAAAGTACAATCTTTGTAATCAATTCGTTATCTATCTTTGGTGAAGATATAATCGTCGAAAAAAGCCTTATTAGTATTAGTAATGAAGGCCATTGTTAAGCTTTAAATTTGATGTGACGCTTACTCAACCAATATTAGTATTTATTAGTACCATCTCATCGCCATCATAAAATCCACGTATTTTATTTATCACAAGCGTGGCGAAATATTTGGCAACCACAGCCGCTCTGCGATCGCTTTAACATTTCGCTTTCATGTCCCGCGCGCCAACGCTTTAGCCTCAACTTTGCATGCGGCATCCCCAGATGCGAGTAATGTTGCAACAAAATCGCACGCGCTCGCGCCATATCGCCTGCTGTCCCGTCGTTATTTACAATTTCGACATGCATCCATCGTGGTTACTGCGTTATCATTTATTCGGACTTCCATATTCTAGTATTATTATTGCGAAGATCATCGACTATTTATTTGTTCTTGACTTTATAATGTTAAAATGCCGGTTTAATGCGCGTTTGATGTAACGCCAGCCACCGACGATAACATCTTCACTAAACCGGCTCGGGCCAGCGTATACTTTACAATTACCATCAGCCGCGAGCTGTAACCGGTACCTTTAAAACACTTACATTTTTATATATTGTGAAGAAATATGCCCACACATGCCCATTGCGAATATTTTGCCGATGGCCGAAAGAATACCCGACGATTAATCCAATTAAAACCTCAAAACGCGTGGCGATTAGAGAGACACGCGCGCGGACCACGCGGTGAAACAACTGTCGTGTGCGCTGCGCGTAGCCGGGTACAAGGCAGGTATGCAGCGATATCACGAGTCCGAAACTAAAAATTTACAATCTTGAAATGCACATACACGAAATTTACTTTTACTTTCAATATTTCTCTGCATACGAAAAGAATTTATGGGCTTTGGGATGTAATAAGATTGAGTTTTCGTAAAAATTTAGTGTATACCTTAGTTAATTAAATAATTGGCGTTTTTGTAAAGGTTACTCACACTTTATATGTATGTAGGACAGTAAAATACCACTTATTTCCATTTTAGTGCAACAGTGATACATTAACACTACACATCGTAAAATTGAAATAAATAATTATATAAGTTATTATATTAATTTACTAATACCATTACAATACTTATTACCATTTCAGTGTTACAGTGTCATAATTTTAACCACAATATCTCGTAAACTAAAAGAGATAATTTAGATCGCATCGCAGCGTCTTAATCTACGGACTATTCTCTATCAGATAGGATAGTTAAAACGGAAATCTGAGAGATGAAATTTTCATTCTTAAGAAAAAATTGCCAAGGGGGGTGCTTGATACTTTTTTTCGACGAT